AATCAAAAACAATTCTCCACAGTTCAACGTAAGCTTACATGTACGTTTTATTCGTTTGTTTATTCTTATGCCTCTGTTAAGGCCATCCTCACCAACACATAATCTCTTATGCTATGCATATGCGCCTCTACAGAGGACCATGCTATGTTTATGTTTGCATCTCTAAAACTGCACTTGCATGTCCATTTCTGTTCTTGTTTTTCTGGAGTGTAACGTATATCATATGAATTTACATTCACTTCATTTACTGTGTATTGTTCTCTAGTGTGCTTGATTACACTGTACTTCTTTAAGAGAGAGCATCGCACTCAATGAAGCCTGAGTGAATCATTTTTATTCAGGTTCCTTTTTGACTGTTTAAACAGGGGTCTTTTTTGCATGAGCGTGCGCGACCGCTGAACAAGCAGTGTACATGCACTTTCACCACAGGGTCTGCCCTCATCAAAATGGCGTGTCTCAAAGCTATCATCGCCATTACTTTCCTCGTTGGTCTTGGCAAATGTGATCGTGATTTAACAAAATGTGTAGTTTGTAAAAACTCTGACATGGTCTTAACAAAAGCGAAGTAGGCGGGCTTTAACATACCACAAGCTATTATCAAATTCCATCTCCCGACTTGACCTGGACAACAGCTCGCATATACGTAGTGCTTGTAGAATTGCACTGACCTCATTAAAGCATGAACGAAGTGTTGAAACATTTGATAATGTAAGTAAACACTTTCAATTTGATTTGTTTTAAAATGGGGAAAGGAAACCCAAATATAAAAAAATAAAACATAGCAGATTTCTGCCTCAGCGAGTGGGTTCGAAGTGCACAAAAGCTGGTGATGTTCAGCACTTTAAAGCTACAAAATGAAGAGCACACAAGACAGACATTTAGATTAGTCACCTGGTGAGATGTTGGTGGTATTCACTCTGTTTGTCTTGATTAATAAAAATATGAATATCAATGAGACAGTCAAAACTGCAGTCAATAGGACTGATTTTCATGAACCAAACGGCTAAAGGCAAATTCCTTTAAAAGATGCGTTACAGTGTTAGTCACCACAAAAACAAGAAGTTCTGCAATTTTTTGATAAACGAACTTTGTATCGCTAAAATTCTTAAGACAACAGCTTTCTATTCCAACTGATAACAGCGTGGTAGTCGCTCGCTGATCGTTATTAATCAACTCCCGAAATATGGCTAAATCAGCTATCCACAAATTATTGACAGAAATCCTCTTTGGCATCAAGAAACTAATTTGAATCTGATCTATAGACAAACACTAAATAAAGAACATTTTGCTTAATAGCTCCCCGTCAGCAATGCATTGTTTGCCAAACTTTGCGGTTCTTGAAGGGAAATCAAGACACAAGCACCAAACAACAACAATCAGCCATGTTCGTGTCAGACATCCTTGAGAAACTTTCTCTTTCACCTCTTTCAACTCATCAGTGTCCACTTCCTGTAAATCACCAGATCTTCACTTCTTTTGGACAACGAAGATCTTTCCTAAGTTCCTGCTGAATCTAAAGCAAGCTTTCAAAGTGAAGAATTTGGTTCCTGACTATGCACCACTGTCACTGTCACTGGTCATGTGCTCTTTATCAAGTCTTAGCGCGAATACTCATGCAAAACAAGACCGCTGTTGACTGTTTATAACTCTCTCATTCCTATGATTTAGTTCTGTTGTGGTTGATAAATTTACAGCTTCATTAATATTTGAGGTTTTGAGTGGGCTGAAAAAAATGGTTTGGCTCATGGTAATGAAGATGTGTGGACTGTGTTTAATCACAACGTTTTTTTGACCGCCAGCAAAAGCTGTCTGATTATCTTGTTTTTTTATTTTTTATTTTTTTTAAAGAAATGCTTTAACATCACAAACTTTGTGAAAGTTATGATTAATTAGTCTAACAGACTTCATGTCCTTTAATTCGGTCAGTAATCATACTAGTGATTAAACAAATCGGACTCCCGGTACACAGTTGTCTGATTTTGTTAGACACCTGCACATTTATTGATTGCAGACCGAATTGGATTCCACTCAGTCTTACTGAAATAGTGAAGCTACATATTATTTGCAGAACCTGTAATTTAGAGCAAATTTTCAGTTGTTGATTGATTATTATTCTTTGACAGGATGAGTCAAAAAATAGAAAGGAGATTTACAACCACGTTCAAGCAGTCCCATGGGAGGCAACAAATGCAGATAAGAATTTACACGTTTTAGCCTGTAAACTGGATTTACAGTATACTTAAACCTTCAACACTGCATTATATGTATGTATTTTTTCATAAATGTCTTGCTAGCCTGCTAAATGCATGTTTAAAACAAGTACATGATTGTATTTCTACACGTTAAATGGACTGAAAACTCAGGGTAATACCATAAACTATCAATGTTCAAGATGTATACTCATTGTTGTTGCCGATTTTTAGTTGCCTTTTTTTCAATAAAATTTTATTGTTGGCCTATGAAGATGCCTCTTTATTGAAACGTTATTACTGTACCTTCAAAAATCTAGCATGTACTTTTCAGCCCAGCTCTTGCTTCTTGACATGATATTTTTAACTTTATCACGAAAACCAGGAAAAAACCTTGTTAATGTTTTTTCCTTTGTTTACATATTTTATGATTTGTCATTGTCAACCAGGCTTACCAAGCTTTTAAGGTTTAAATTAAACCAGATTACTAGAAAAAGGTCTGGGAGAACAAGGCTTACCACGCTTTTGAGGTGGGAGATTTTTATTAGGCCTACCAGGAAACCCTGGTTAAACCAGGCTTGCCATGCTTCTGAGGTGGAAACTGTAAACCAGATTTCCCAGAAAACCTTGGTTAAACCAGGCTTAACAGGCTTTTGAGGTGGAAAATTTCAACCAGGCCTACCAGGAAAGCCTGGTCAAGCATTTCTGGTTAGGATTTTTAAGTAGAGACCTGAGTTACCAGACTTTCGTGGTAAATTATAACCTGGCTATTAACAAAGAAATCCTAGGCTTACCTTGAAAGCCTAGTAAAACCAGGCTCAACCAGGCTTTCAGTTTTAGTTGATAATTGTCAAAAGCCTGGTAAGTCTGGTTCAACCACGGTTTACCAGGCTCACCAGGCTTTTAACCAGACTTTTGGTGCAAGGGCAGAAATCCACACAGTTGTTGTCTTTCTCTGCGTTTTGGCGTCGTCGTGAAATAGTCCAGGAGCATATGTAAGAAATATAGCTCCCGTGGGAAGTTCTTGTTGAAAGCAAGCAACTGCTCTAGAAGTAACAAGAAGAAAGAAAAATCTTGTTGCCAGTTTTGTAACCCGCGCCGAGGTTTGGGGGGGGGGGGGGAAATTAGCCCAACAGACTATCCATGAAAACGAAGTTGGGGAATAAAATGAAATGTCTTAACACTTTACAAACTGTAGATAAAATGACACCAAAATAACAGGAGTTGTAAAACTCCATGTTGTCATTTTTTTCCATAGCCAATGGGATACTTCACTAGTCACGTGACGAAGCTAGCACGAAAACGAAGCTGCGAAATAAAGCTTCTTATAGTTCTTTTAACCGGAAAAAACCAAAATAACGGGGATACAAAACGCAATGTGGTGAGTGTTTGTCTGAGTCAGTGGGACGCTGCCACTAGTCATGTCACAAAGCTAGCATGAAAGGGAGACTGAGCAATAAACGTATTATAGCGCTATCAACTGTGGATAAAACGAAACCAAAATCACAGGAGACATTCAACTCAATGACGTCAGTTTTGGCCTTAGACAAACACTCACTTATTAGTGGCGGAATTAGGTATTCGCTTGGATATTACGCTCTAATCACGTGGCCAAAGAAATGTGGTGGTTCGTAAAATTTTTCACTGGTCCTGTGTTTACATCCAGAATCCAATGTCTTACAGATAAGAGATCGATTTTTCATCTGTGGTGTACAAGAAATTTTGTGACCAGACCAGGATATGTCATGCAGACATTTTCATCTACATGTATCTTAGAGATTGACGAAAAGTTAAAAGCTTAACTCCTATTACTGTGAAATGGTCAGCTAAGTAAAACGCTCAGACAGAAATGTTTAAGTGTGTTCAACACGTATTTTTTATTTATTTTCATTGTCTTCCCATGAAACCTAGTCATAAAAATCTTCCTCTTCATCTTCATCCGGGTCTGGAAGGACTGGAAGGGGGAGTCTGGATCTCGAATCACGGGTTAAATTTCCCTGCATTCTCGAATCACGTCACTCCTTGGAGTCATTTCACGAATCACGTGAAAAGGTGATGAACGTAAATTAACTGGTCAAGGCCATCAATTATTCTTAGTGGTTACTGGACTAAAATAGGCAAGAGTCGGTCTTAAAACTGACGACCCCTCAATGTTAAGGAAAGAAATAGTATGGTGATTAAACTGGCAATTCTCTGCTTTTTGCTTGACCACTACAAAGTTGTCTGGCAATGAATATTATTGCTATAAAATCGAAAGTCAACAATGTTTCACTTTTACATGGCTTAACTTCGAACCCTCGTCACGACACTCACATCTGTTTTATCGGTAGAAATCTCGATTCACGGATTACAATGTTACAGGATCACGCGTCTCAGTGAATTTGTAATTCACTAATCACGACTGTGTTTCATGAGTTTCTCCAATTCACTCTCTTTTCACCGGTCAATTCACGGATCACTGAAACCCCTTCCAGACCTTGCTTCATCGTCATCATCATCATCATCATCATCATCACCATCATCATCATCGTAACCATCGTCATCATCACCTTCGATGTCATGCATATTTTCACAAAGTTTCCCACTGTCTAAACGACGACATAAATCGGTGCAGTTTATCCCAGCTTTTCTACATCGGCAGCGGTTTGTTGAGCATCTCTCCTTGGCGCATTTGCACTTTACAAGGTAAGTAATTGCGTCTGGAGCGGCTGGTATACGTAGTTTCTTCATGACAGGCACCCATCCATTTTCATCCGCCGTCCTGCCAAATTTTTCTGGGCATGGAAGGGTGGGATTTGCGACTTCGTCATTATTCCACACCAGCAGTTGATAGTGAGTTCTTAAGATTGCTTGACTTAGTGCAGCTTGGGTTGGTGGAAGCCTTTGAGTCTGACTGCGCTTGCTTCTTTCGAAACAGCCATCTCAGCTCTTTCACCGTACACCATCCTTGGTACATACAGCTAGCACACAAATTTCTCGATTAAGGCCATCGTCTCTCTGCTGGAAATCGCACTTACTCCAAGAGCTGAAAAGCCACTGATGACTTCTTCGTCAGCTTTATGAAAGTTTCGTGCGCTGACAAAAAGTAAATGGGTCTATGAACTAGAAGCTATGCATCGCTCAAACTACACCAAACTGAAAATTAAAAAGAAGTTCTGAAAGTCCCCTTACTTTACAAAGAAATAATTGTTTTCAGTTGGGTCCTTCCCCAATAAAACCGAAACACATATTGTTCTTCCGAACATAGTTCTAGCATTTCAGTGACGAAAAAGAAAAACGAAAAAAAAAAACGAATGGTTTCGGCCAGGATCGAACTGGCGACCTTCTGCGTGTAAAGCAGACGTGATAACCACTACACTACGAAACCAGATATACGAGTGGCTGATTAAAAATAAGTTTAAATAGGCTCCACCCGCTCCTGCATGGGAAATAGGACACCGCAACGAGTGAAGATAACAGAATGAGAAGTACATTATTTATGGCATTCTCTCTCGTTTTCATGTCGTAGCCTCATTTTCAGGCTAGTTCTAGTTCACTTCCGAGAATAGGAAGAGGGTTATCGAAAGTAATTCTGTGGTTGGTTTGGTTTTTTTCTCTGTACACAATTCCCTTTCCTTGGTGGCGGAGCAAATGTCCATTTATAAACGGGCGATACCGTTTTTAAGACACTCGCAAAATTTTTGCACTCTTATGGAAATTCTTCTCTCCTAAAATGAAGAACTTAACAGCCGGCCCTTCTGCACACTAATCTGTCATAACTAGAGGCCACGAATATAAAATTGTTATTGAATGATAATAATAAAATTCTGAAATTGCTATTTTTTGACCCTAATCTTCGTAGAGCGGTCGGAAAATTGTCCGCAAAAACAGCTTGTGACGTCAATGTTGGTCAGGTGAAAAAAAGCGGGAAATTCAAAACAGTCTTTTTCGAGTCGACTTGGTGCAGAAATTTTGGTGGTTTGTGCGGCCAAAAACCTGCAAAGAAAAAGGAATGTGTGTTTAAAAGTTGCAAGCTGTGGTTATAACCTTCTTATTCTTTTATTTCCTCGTATTAAAACGGACTTTAACGACAGTAATTTCCTTGCGTTTTACTGGAAATGTGCGTGCGTAGGTCCGATTTTTTTTCAAGATGCATTCATTCGATCGGACACTTGTAGCTTTGCAGATCACTAAAATATAAACAAAATCATCAATGTAGAAGTTTTGGCGTTGATATGTGGGCAGAAAAAGAGTTAATCTTTATCTAGTAAAATCTTTCCGAAAATCGGTTTCAAAGCAACTATAGTTTCTTTTTACCTTGATCGTTTCGCGCAGGTAAATTTTGCTTTGTGTTGTCAAGTTGAACTTGCATAACACCTTTCAAAAACCTACGTGTTAGTAAGATTTCTTTCAAACATTCACTTAAAGTTACATTATTGTAAAAACGTCTTTCCAGTTATGTATATGATTTAATAGGCGAGTGAAATTTGAGACAATTTTGAAAAATCACGAGTGGTATTTATGCCAAATATCACTACAAATCATGCTATTATTTGTTTATACTACTACCCGCGAAAGGTTTGTAATTTTCAAATTTGGGTATTTCAAATTAATACCACTGCTCTAAGCCAATCAAACTGCAGAAATTTCTCATGTAGTAGTATAAACTAGTAATAGTTGACACTCTAGCTGCCCCCGCTCTGTATATTGTCGGTCAATAGTATTCTTNCATAACACCTTTCAAAAACCTACGTGTTAGTAAGATTTCTTTCAAACATTCACTTAAAGTTACATTATTGTAAAAACGTCTTTCCAGTTATGTATATGATTTAATAGGCGAGTGAAATTTGAGACAATTTTGAAAAATCACGAGTGGTATTTATGCCAAATATCACTACAAATCATGCTATTATTTGTTTATACTACTACCCGCAAAAGGTTTGTAATTTTCAAATTTGGGTATTTCAAATTAATACCACTGCTCTAAGCCAATCAAACTGCAGAAATTTCTCATGTAGTAGTATAAACTAGTAATAGTTGACACTATAGCTGCCCCCGCTCTGTATATTGTCGGTCAATAGTATTCTTGCTCGTTGTGTAGTTCTTTGAAATATACCGATTCATAATGAAGATGTTCACACATATTCCATACAATAGGTGAGATAAATACAGGATACGCAAGGTTCCAATCACTGTTTCAGTTCGATTTACACAGCTTTGATCAAAACATTCTCAGTTTCGAGAATAGTTTATTCTAAACCATAAGAAAAGACTTAAAATTAAGTTTAATTTTCCGCTATTTCTATTTCACTTTTTACATTTAGTTCATTTTATTTGCCCGAAAGTAAGCCTTAGAAATTAAAGGACGTTCGATCAATTCACGCTCGCTCATTGTAGTCTTATTTTAAACTTTATAGCGGAAGGACATCTGTGAACAGGGAATAAGTCAGCACAGAATTTGATGGTCGGCGAATTTCTGTAATCGTCCGCCGTTCTGCTAGTGATAAGCTAGCCGATGAATCATTCACTCTTCTTGCTTGTTTGGGGCCGAGTCGTATACCGGTCAAAGAAAGAGAGAGAGTGTTTTGCAAGGTGTCCAATCAAAGATTTGTGAACTCGTGTCTGGCAAACTCACTTAGTGTTAAAATATACACTGTTATACGCACCTTATAACTTCATCTGCGCTTATTGAGTGTCTTTTGGTCCATAACTTTCATAACAACTGCTCCACAGAATGTCACTGATAACACGTAACACAAAAGGGTATCGAAGTATGACTGCACAAAATCTACCTATTGTAAGCGGCCCCTTCGGGATTTTTTGTTTTACGTCATCCTAACCATTTCGTACTTGCGGGCTAAAACAATAGAAACGTCATCATTACCACCGATTCCTCGCGGCCCCTGTTCAAGCAAATCGAGATCTTTTCGATATTGACTGTATGACTGTATATTTCAACTGTGAGTTACTTTCCTTAATATAAGCGCGAGTTACTAGAGTGCCTCCTCGAAATTTCGCCTTATGGGCGAAATCCCTGCGGGGCAACAATCAAATAATCCCTGACTATTATTACTTGAGCAACAGAAAAATGATCGAAGTAGACTTTTCTTTTCGAGTATAAAGCTTGCTAACCTTTTATTTCCGAAAACGTTTTAAGCGCACAAGTTTGTTCACTCGCATGCGTTAGCAAGGTTCTTTGACTGAAGAGAGGGATAAAGATGGTTCTGCCAAGGTAATATATAAATCTGGGAACGTAAAAAAAAGTAACCGTAACTACTAATAACAGAATACAAGCGGGTTTTAATTCAGCCGGGCGAAAATAGGCGAAATCAACTCACAAATTAATTGAATGCTCAATCAGAAAAATACTCGCCTCTTTGGAAATGATCAAAGCTTTTTATTTCACCTCAGACTGACGGAATGATCCGTTTTTCCTTTAACATTGGTTGTTCTGAATCCAGTAATTTTCAAGTGACGGGGAAAAAACAAACAAACAAATAAAAAGTCTTCACAAGGAGCAAACGTTCGCACCTCGTGCATTTCATTCGATCTCAGTCAAAACTCTCTCAGTGACAAACAAACACGGTATACACACAGAAAAACCCGCCTGAAGCCTACGATAGGAGATGCGCAGAAGCTTGCGCAGAACTTTTTTTCGGCCTGAAGACCAACATTTACGTCACGTAGTCTCCAGTCCATCGCGCGGCCATTTCAGAAACGTTTTCGTGAAGTACTCGGAAATGCTCGGATTTTGATCTTTCATCTTTCTGTAAAGGCTTGGGTAGAAAAGTCTTTACCCAAATCTCACTTAGGAGGGTTCTTTTTATTGTTTGGTGAAGGTAACGTGACGAAAGAAAATATTTCAATTTTGACTTTTAAGAATCAGCTGTAATAGTTGATTTCCCCGTTTCTTCGACGATCAAAACAGTACTTTTTTCACCAAAATTGGTGTCTCAATTTATTCTATTCTTATTATGTTTCTTCTTGAAATAAGCGGAGAACATATTTGAATGTTTACTCAGTTTTCTTCCGCAGATTGGGAGAGTTGTGACACAATTCAGGCGAAAATATAAATTCACAGATTTTCGCAAAGCAAATGAGCCGGTCAAGTGTCACTTTTTTTTAAAATATTCCCTCAAAAAAGCACAAGAAAAAATTCTAAACCCTCCGAAAACTGCAAAGAATCAACGGGAGATTTACATTTTACAGGCTTACATGAGATGAACTTGTGTGCGAAATTCTCAAAGTTCCTGTTTTCGTCGGACGAGTCTTCCTAATCCGAAATTTAGACCTCCAAAAACAGACGCTGCAAAGATGGACAAACATGCTTTATGGATCACGCAACGCCTTCTGGGTTAATATTTAAAAGTGTTCATTTTTTAACGTAGGAGACCGAAAACTTCCGAAACCAAATTTACGAACTGGGCGTGCCCTGAGGCAGCCCAGTTAAGGTGGCTCCGTCATTAATACTGGAGCATTTAGCTATGACAAATTTTCCGTCATAACATTTTGGTTTTTAACACGATGGCTGCGAAACTTGCAAAGAACAACAGATATTATTCGGCAATAGTACAAAATATTCCGATTTCATTAATGGTTACTATTTCTTGAGAAATTAGCGCTTAAAAGGACCCTACTGTTCAAAGAAAATCATTTGTAGTAAAAAATTTTGCTAATATTTTTTACTGAAATTTCTGGTATCGGCTAATAATAAGTATGCCGGAGAAATTTCAGAAAAATGGTTGGTCCTCAAAATTCAGTTGTGAAATTGTTCCGGAATTTCAAAAAAAACATTACTCTCAGGCAGGAGGAGACACCAGTTCAAATTTTTGGCACAAGTAAATTCAATGTTTGCTTATTCTGAAAACAAAAGCCGTTAGCCTATCGTGCTATTCTTTAAAAGGTACTTTTCAGTTTTAGAGGCA